CTGAGGAACTTCACATAAGAACGTGCCTCTTTCCACATCAAAAAGGGTTCCAGCCTAGAACCTTTTTATTTAAAAAAATGTGGCAATAACTCCCACTCCCACCTCTTCTCCTAAATAGTTTTCTTTGGGCAGGGGTCTTGTTTTTTCGTGGAGTGGCTTCCAACCGTATCAGCCCACCCCTGTACCTGTGTGGTTCAGACACACCTCTAATGTCCTCTGGGAGAACAAAGTCTCCCTCTCACTTCTGTGCTAAATGACTTGCCTTAGAGAGTGATTGCGAGGGATTGTAAAACCCAGTCAAGGTGCTGTTGTACAGAAGGCTCCCCAGGAAGTATTAATTCTTCCGTGCCCTTTACAGCATTCAATAAAACTACATTGAGGCTATATTTAGACAGGACAGATGCCCTGGGAGGGGCTTTTAGATTTGCAGGGCACAGTTCAAGGGAGAGGAAGAAGGCCCTTTAAAAGGGGAGTGCTATAAAATTACAAAGTGAATCTCCATGAAGAAACTAAATATTTATTTCTCTGAAAGCAATCAGGGTGGAAAACGTTTGTTTTTTAAAGCACAAAACACAATTTAACATTTGTAGAAAGAGGCACTTGAACCTTCAAGTGCACACTTTCCAGTTTACAGTGGATCAGGTGTTGCAGAACTTCCTGCCCATGGCCCAAAATTGGTTCACAAGGTCATTTTGTCCAAATCAATGGAAAGTGGCAGCAGTAACGGCCGTGGCCCGTGAGGCCTTGCGTCAGTGATAGAGAGTGCTGGCAGTAGCGGTGGTGGATTGTGAGGACTTGCAGAAGTAGTTGCCAGGACATTGTCTGTGTAGTTTCTTATTTCATGATATATATATCATATCATGCTATATCACAATATTTAGCTGATGATATATTGTGATATTGAAAACCAGTTATCGCCCAGCCCTACTTTAGAGGTTGAGTGTGTGTGTGTGTGTCGTCCTGGAGGCAGAAGAGTCACTGTCACTGTCACCCTCCTATGTAAAAGAGGTCCTGGACTTCCTAATTTTAAAATGCTGCTTCTTGCCAGCTGCACTTTCCATAGGTCTTACTAATAAGCTCTGAGACATTTGCTTTCCAATTAATCAGCACCAGTTATATAAGGTAATTCTATGAAAGTTTATTCTGAAACAAGCTCCATTGAGTTCAATGGGGCTTACTCCCATGCAGCTGTGTACAGAACCACAGCCTTAATCAACTAATTACAGTAACTGGTTAAACATTGTGGCCCTAGGATATAGTGAAACCACACTCGAGCTCCACCTTCCATGGTATTTTTAACATCTTAAATTGCTGCTAACTTCTTGTTCCCTAATTAAATGCATCCATCTTTGTAGATTATTTCCATAGATCAAAACCCCATAACTGGCCATCAAAATTGGGTAATCATTTCAAAGTACTGCAGCTGCTGATTTAGCTGGGCTGGTTTCATCCTCTTCAATCCCCCCCCCCCAAAAAAAAACCCACCCTAACACATTTTATTTATTTATTTCATTTCTACCCCAGCTCTTCCTCCAAGGAGCTCAAAGTGACGCATGTGGTTGCCCCCCTCCTTGTTTAACCCCCCACAACCAGCCCTGAGAGGCAGGCTAGGCTGAGAGGCAGTGACTGGTCCAGGGTGACACCCAGTGAGCTTCATGGCTGAGTGGGGGATTTGAACCTCAGTTTCCCAGGACCTGGCCCAACACTCTAACCACTAGCTCTCTTGCCCAAGAGTGGTAGGATGTTACACAGATGAGCAGAGCAGGTTTACGCTCAGAATTTCAAAGTCTTGCGGCTACACCACCTGTACCTATTCAGCTTTGCAGGGAAGGAAGAAAACACAGTGACTGGCCACAGTGGCTGGCACCCATCTGGACTCACGGGGCGGAAGGCAGGGAGCCGAAACAGTAATTAGAGCCAGTCAGTGCCAAGAGGAGAGGCAGAGCCAACTAGTTTTGTCCCCATCTCCCCCTCCCTGCTGACTTTCCAAGGGCAACCCCAGGAGCAGGAAGAAGCAGACAACCTTGGCCAGTGCCCCCCCCCCTAGGCTGGTTGAGGTAAGAAGGCAGGCAGATAGGTGGGGGCTGGATGAGGGCGATGCTGCAATGGACCAGCCCCCACGGCCAGCAATGCTTTAGATCAGATTCTTTGTTTTAAAATTAATAGCACATAGTTAGAATTATGGATCTCGCTCCCACAAGAGGTAATGTGGCCACCAACCACAAAGATGACTTTAAAAGAGAATTGGCTCCCTCCTCCAAGAATTTGTCTATCGATGGCTGCTAGCCATGTGACTTCAGTCGCATGTGACTTCACAGTCGCAGGCAGAAATGCTTCTGAATATCAGTTGCTGGAAACTGCAAGAGTGCTCCTGTGCTCGAATCCTGCTTGTGGGTTCTCCACGGGGCCCTGGGTGGCCTGATCCAGCATGCTCCCTTCATGTTCATAATATTGCATGGTGTTATTGGGGGTTCAATGTGATAAAGCACTTTGTGAAGCATGTTATTTAAGAAGCAATTGCATAATATTTTAAATGGATATATACATACAAATAAGAAACGACGTAAAAACAGCAGGTGTGTCCCTGGCATTACTTGAATCTATGCCATGGTTTCCCAGTCAGGGACTACTCTGTCCACAAACACTGCATGTGGAGGCAGACAATGACATTGCCATGATCAACTTATGAGCCACCAGCTGCAGATCCACTGTAAAGAGCCGCTGTTATTGCTGGCATGCTGCTGGTATGATAGAGATTAGAGTGTGGCAAAACTAGGCTGTGCCCACTCTCTGCCCTGTGGGTGCAGCTTGCCAGCATAAATCTACATTGGGGGAGTTTAGCATCAGTATGGGGCAGGGTGTCCAGTAGTGTAAATGGAGTTATTTTGGTAGAATGACACATGGCTTCTTAATGCTACTCAGCTTCAGTTTCCTCCTTCATTTCATTGGAGGAGAGACTACAGGCAATGCAGTAGAATCACTTCCGGACAACCTGTTTGTTCAGCATTCACTCTGAATTGATTGTACAAAGAATGCAGGGTGGGAGGTTCTACAATGTTGTGTGTCTTAAGAGCATTGATTCTGATTTGTTAGTTTAGAAGCTAAGGTGGCATACATACTTCTCCGCCACAATAACCCTACGGGGGCAGGTTAGGCTGAGAGGCAGCGACCGGCCCAGGCAGTCACACCCAGTGGGCTAAGTGGGGGATTTGAACCCTGGTCTCCCAGGTACCAGTCCAGCATGCTATCCACTACACCGTACTGGTTCTCAATTATACAACTGTGACTATACAATGAGGTTATACGACATTACTTCAAGCAATCATCATTTCAGATATTCAGTGCATCTTCCCCTTCACGGTCCTTACTGCAAACTGTCTGGGGTGGAGGGGTTTTTTGGATATAGGTTTTGTTGCACAAGAAGCCAAATATGCTATTGTTGTTGCTATTATTAAAATTTGTATACCACCCTTCAACTGTAGATCTCAGGGTGGTTCGCAACATAAAAATACAATATAAAAAAAATACAAAATACATGATAAAAATAAAAATCACACAACCTGCATTTGACAGCATGTGAATGAATCCACCCTGGAATGTATTGGTGGTGTGGAAGTCTTCTGTGTCTCTGACTGAATCTGCCAGGTATGTGGTTCAATCCCACTTGCAAAATAACTGACAGCTTGATTGACAGCTCTGTTTGAGTGGATTGCTTGCCCATCCAGTAGAAGAGGAGTGGGAAATATGTGGGGGTCCCCAAATACTATGCTTGATTGCATGCAAGCTCCTCTGGGCTTGCAGGACAGGGCACAAATGCCCTGACCATCATCCCTGACCACCAGCCATGCTGTTGGGAGTCCAACAATCTCTGCAGGGCCACAGGTTCCCCATCTTTGCCAAAGAACGTGACAGCATCATAAAGCTTTCTATTTGGAAGTCTTTTCTCAAAGGGCACCAAAAGCACTTTCAGCTTTCCTTATATAAGCCATTTTTAATGGAGAATCCATCACGACCCTCAGGGTGCATACTGGAATTTAAAATGGCTTTCTGTCCCGATAAGAACTATTTCGCTCGTCCGCCCTTTGGGCTCCGCAGGGTAGTAAGCTTCGCGTCCCCTTCAGTGTTCTGCCCGCGCCTGCCTGCCGCCAACTCAGAAGCAGCGCGTCTAGCCCCGGCGCCGCACTCCGCACGCGCTCAGGAACCCGACGCCGCAGCGCGTCTCCGGAAGGCGGCGATCCTTGCGCCAGCCCCTCCCGGCTCAGGCGAGCGTCGTGCGGTTCTGCACGCCCGCCAGCCCCCGGCGGAGTGACGACGCCGGCGGAGGCGGGGCAGCGCAGGGCAGGGCGGCGCGTCGAAGTCCTCAGCTCAACCTGGGAGCCGGAGCGCCATGTGCGCGGCGGGTCAGAGCGGGTTGCTGTGCCTGGAGGGGCGCCGACTCCATGCACAACGGGGGCGCAGCTAGTTGCCGATGTTGCACTTGCAGGACAATAAAGAGCCCCAATCCCCAAACTGGCCTCTCTTTAGGGCTCCTTTTGCTCAGCCGCCCCACGCAAGATGCCCAGAGCGAGAAAGCGCCCTCGTGGCCAGGGAGGTGCAAAGGGAAGGGCCGGATGGGGCATTGCATTGGACCCATTCGGATACCCGAGGTTATGCCCAAGCGGGCGCTTGTGTTGTTTTCAGAGCCTGGGCACGGATCCTGGGACTTAGGTCCGAGTAGAAGCGCCTCGCGTGGGGGACAAACAGAGCTACAACCTCCCGGGCGCGTTTTTCCTTGGGGAGCCTCGGCTGTGGGCGGGGCGGGCGCTGCACTCTGCACTCGCTCAGGAGCCTGCTGCCGCCTGGGTGGGCCGCTGAGATCTCCGAGCAGCCGCCTTCCTCCTCCTCCTCCTCCTGCTTCGAGGTTGAGGCTCTACACACCCTCCGGCCGGGGCCAATGGGAGGCGCCGGGCAGGGCGCGTCACGCGGGAGCCGGCAGGGGAGGATGGCATCGCTGGCGAGCCTCAAGAAGCCACTTTGTTCCCGCGCCGGGTAGCCAGGCAGGGCCGCCTCCGCCTCGTCCTCGCCGCCCTCTCCCGGCTCCGGGGCTCCGGGCCCCCGTCTCGCCGCGCCATGATCGCCTCCCACTTGCTGGCGTACTTCTTCACCGAGCTCAACCACAGCCAAGTGCAGCGGGTGAGGGCGCGCCGGGGCCACGCCGAGGGACCGGCCGGGCTGGGCGAGGGAGCGGGGCGAGCACGTGGGGGCAGCTCGGGGCCCTTTCGGGAAACGGGGGCGCGATTATGGGGGGGGGGGCGCCGCTCTGCACGCGCTCAGAGGGACGCGCAGGGAACGTTTGCGTGCTTTTTAAGTTGGAGCTTAAAAGCGGGGAATTCCCGTCTGCGCGGGAGACGCGGAGATCTCGTGAAAGGGAACCCAGGGACCCTCTCGTCTTAGGTGGGTTGGGCGGCTCTGGGCGCCCCGTTTCCCGGGACAGGGGGAAGAAGGGGCGGCGGCGGCTGCCGCCAAGATCTGACCACTGCCCGGGGAGAAATAGGATTATATTAGCTGCAGTAGGAGATGCGAGGCGCTCTTTTCCGCTTCCACGTGGAATGCAGATAGGACCTTTTCTCCCTTCCCGTTTGTGGGGGCTGGACTATGGCCTCCCCCCCCCCAAATACTCAAGTCTCTTCCGTTCTCCAAACTTTCATGTATTGCGGAGGAGAGCGCCGCCCCCCTCCACGACTATCTGGAAGAGATGGGGTCCCAATCCTGCTTTTCCTTCTCGATAGTTGCTCCCTTCAGTGGTTCAGGATGGAGGGGGGAAAGTCCATGCCGTGATACGATTGGAAGAAAGCCGCCCCTCCCCCCCCCGACAGCATTTTGGGGCTACTCCTTCCCCGGCCTCTTCCAGCCTTTATGATGCCAGGAGCGGGTAGTGGTGATGGAGGGATCCCGGATGATCTCTCCCCCCCCCGGCAGACAACAAAGGAATGTTTTCACTTAAAAATTACGCCCCGCCTCCTTGTGGCATCCGCTTCCGTGGACCTCAGCCTCGAGGCAGTGACTTTTTTAAACCTACCTTTTTAGAAGCTTGCTTAGTTCTGAGAACTTTAGGCATTGGGAAAACTTCTTTTTTTAGCCTAGCAACTCTGTGGGAGAGACTGGTGTGTGTGGCTGGAGCCTCAGGAGCAAGATTAATTGTATTTAAATACAGATGACTTAAGTTTGCAGTAGCTTAAAATAATAACATGCCACATGAAGATTTATAGATGTGGGCATGCTTCTGCAGAGCCTATTCTGATGCAAAGCTTTTGTGTGGTATTTCTTGAGTAAAGCTGCACAGGATTGCCACCTGGTTCTGTGCTGGCTTTTCGTTTCCAATGCCCAGGCTTAATCTTGGCAAGGGGCATGTGCAGAGTGGAGTGCAGCTGCCTGTAATGATGCGATATGCATCGATTTGGGGTTTTTAGGTGCCTTTAAGGTTCCATGTCAGCCGGATCGTGACCTCTTGGCTATCAAATCTTGCAAATGCCTTTCTGACACTGAGCAGCAGATGGCCACAGAAGGCAACCTCTTTCATTGTAGCTTGCTAGTGGCTTCAATGTGCCAACACTGTGAGTGCCTACAGCAGCAGCGCTTGGACGTGGGTGACCTGCTGCCAGCAGGACCAGCCCAAACCCTCTGATCCTCAAGGCAGAACATCCAAATGGCCCCTTTGACCAAGCAGCGTAGAGTGACTGCTGTGCATGCAGAAGGTGCCAGGTACAATCTCTGGCATCTCCCAGTCTGAGGCCCTGAATAGTCACTGCCAATCAGTGTCAACAGTGATCTGATTGCTATTTTGCAGGGAGACATTTTCCTCAGCCTCTTCCCCATCAAGTGAGTGGGGGGGGGACTTGTATGCAGGAGGATGTCCCGTGGGGGTTTTGTGCTCAGATCGGCCTGCCCCCCACGACTCTACTTCACAGTGTCCCAGATGCGCTGCCTGCAGAAGCCACTTTGTCCTGCCTGCTGGCAAGCCTTGCTGGCTTGTGTGCAAACAGAGCTGAAGCAAAGCAGCTGCTGCCTCCCAACAGGAACTGATGCAAGTGGGACACTTCTGCTTTTGGATGGCTTACTATCTAGATCAGGGCAGTCTTAACTTTTCATACCAAGTGAGAGTACTTGGATACAAAACCCACGGCCGCACTCTGCCTTGTTGCATGGTGGTGGTGGTGGGGAAGCAAGGCCAGAATTTGATGCCTGCATGCTGCCTTCCCAAAGCTGGGGAAGCACTAACTAGGCTTTGGGAAGGTGGCCTGAGGGCTAGGAGGGGCATAAGATGTGCTGAGGACTGCCAAAAAATGCCTCTGCTGCATGGACTACCATGATCTAGATGATCCATCAGACACACACACACACACACACACACACACACACACACAGCCTGCCAAAGTCACACAGGGAAAGGGCTGCCTCTGCTGTGCTTTTGATCTCGGGAAAACCTTTCCCACTCCTCTCTGCTCCATTCCCTTCATTCCAGCTGTTGGACTGTTCCAGCTTTCCTCCTTCCTGTGACTCCAGAGTTGCAGAGGGAAAAAAGAGCTGCTGGCATCTCCCTTTTTTCCTTGTGGCCCAGGGCTGACTTAAGTTACGAAATCTTAGTGAGAATTACAGTAGTACCTATGGTTACGTACTTAATTCGTTCCGGAGGTCCATTCTTAACCTGAAACTGTTCTTAACCTGAAGCACCACTTTAGCTAATGGGGCCTCCCACTGCTGCCACGCCGCTGCTGCACAATTTCTGTTCTCATCCTGAAGCAAAGTTCTTAACCCGAGGTACTATTTCTGGGTTAGTGGAGTCTGTAACCTGAAGCTTATGTAACCTGAAGCGTATGTAACCCAAGGTACCACTGTATCAGGGTTTCTGAGGAGGAAAAGATCCTTTTTGCAAAGCAAGGGGCAGGGCAGCGAAGGTTTGCCCTCTGTGCCAGGGACTTCCGAAAAGCTGTTTTGATATTTCCTTCCCTCTTCTCTAGGTTTGGGGTGTGGGAACGGCCTGCCGTGATGGGAGGGGAAGCTCCATCCCTCCACATGTGCAGAAGGTTATTTGACACCAGGCTAAAGGGGTTCCTCTGCTTCCTTTCATTATTTGCTCTAATTCTTTCTCTCCTCCCTTTTCTTGTGCAAGTCTCTAAAATGTTACGCTGGTTTTAGTTTCTGTCTCTGGAGGAATGTGACTGCAAATATGCCAACACTGCATAACTCGTGTCTCCTTTTCTGACCTTGGGTTGAGAAATAACAAATGGAGATCTCATGTGATCTCTTTCTATTGCTATGAAAGTCCCTGCAGTTATGACAAAGATCACAGATAGCATCAGAGTTGGCTCCCTCTCATTACAGCGCCCTTTGCCCACCTGCTGACCTCCAGATGTTTCAGACTGCAACTTGCATCAGCACCAGGAGACACATCAACATCATGCAACCATGTTGACTGGTGGGAATTGTATTCTGACCAGGAGGTTGGGGAACCCTCGAACCTTATCAAGAGACGATGCCTTCTGCCTTGGTTGAGTGCTCATTGACTCCCTCCTCCATCCTCATCTGCCCATCCAAACCTGCAAACAGGCCCTACATGTGGATGAGGTTGATGGGAATTACAGTCCAAGAGCATTTGGAAGTCACCAGTAGGTGAAGGATGTTCTACGCAGATGAAGATGTAACAGAGGGAATGTAGCACAATTGGCATTCTTCTTTTTGATGGTTTACTTAGTTGCAACCTGGGAACAGCCTGTATGCCACAGCCTGGCCATTCCTTTGATCTTGTTAATTGCTGCTCCCTGTGAAATAATAGTTTGTCCCTCCTTGTGGAGAAGAGAAGGGTCTGAGCTTTTAACTATTTTCTGTCCAAAGTGGGTCACTTTTGGAAGTGATTCTTCCACTTAAAATGGACTATTCTTGCAGCAACCAGATCTCATTTGGATATGTGTAGTTTGGGACCCAGAAAATAAGGAGGCAGGAAAGAATGGGGGGGAGGCACCCCCTTTCTTTTTGTTCAGGACACACCCTGGCAAACCAAACTGCTTGGACTTCAGTGGTGTTGCCTACCTTCCATGCAGAACATGGTGTGGAAGAAACTTTGGAAAAGTATTGCATGCACTTTGTAGAGCCCTTAGTGCAGTCAGAGACATAGAACCCCCAAAGGGCATCCTTTTGAGGTAGCCCCTGCATCCTTGTTGGTGCATTAGAAAAGGTTGGAGAGCACTTGATGATGTCAAGTGAGTAACTGTTCTTATGTAATGTGGGACGAAAAATCCCAGATTCTTAAAATTCTAATCCATTGGGTTAGGGATGTGGGTGGCACTGTGACCTAAACCACTGAGCCTCTTGGGCTTGCTGATCAGAAGGTAGGTGGTTTAAATCCCTGCGATGGGGTGAGCTCCCGTTGCTCTGTCCCAGCTCCTTCCAGCCTAGCAGTTTGAAAGCACGCCAGTGCAAGTAGATAAATAGGTATCGCTGTGGCAGGAAGGTAAACAGTGTTTCTGTGCACTCTGCTTTCCTTCATTGTGTTATTTTGCACCAGAAGCGGTTTAGTCCTGCTGGCCACATGCCCAGAAAGCTGTCTGTGGACAAACGTCGGCTCCGTCGGCCGGAAAGTGAGATGAGCGCCGCAACCCCATAGTCGCCTTTGACTGGACTTAGCCGTCCAGGGGTCCTTTACCTTACCTTTTACCTTAATCCATTGTGTTATTCAGACTTGACCTAGAAGCATCTTGGAAGTACCAGAAATGGGTGAGGCTATTCCATAGGGACCTGATTGGCCAATTGCAGTTTTATTGTGGTTGGTGGAAACCAGCAATGTGCTGCTTCCAAAGAAAGAGGTGGGCAGGTAAAAATCTCCAGAGGGTTCCAAAGCTGTAAACACAAATCTCAGCTCAGTTGGTGGAACATGAGACTCTTAATCCCAGGGTCCTGAGTTCGAGCCCCAGGTTGGGTGAAAATGCCCTTCATTGCAGGGGGTTGGACTAGATGACCCTCATGGCCTCTTCCAATTCTATGATTCTATTTTCCAGCTTTCCCCAGGATCTTTCCAGTTCAGAATCCCAGCTCCTCATGAACTGCCCTTGGGATGTGCCTGTTGAAACACTGCAGCCATGTTATATAAGTCACTGACTTTTGTTGTTGAGCTATAAACTCGGTTTTTCTGTAATCAA